ACGGTGGAAAGTGAGTTGGGCGTTTCTAATTTCGGAAATGGTTTTTGCGCTTCTTTTGTGTGTCTATTATCAGTATTTTGTTCTTTTGAATACTCTCGGTTTACATGTTTTCCATTTTTTCGTTTCACATTTCATGCTTTCACAGTTAAGGAGGCCACCAATTTGATACCCATGGACACGAACGGTTTGAGTGATCCGTATATTGCAATCGCATTACATCCTGATCGTAGTGGCAAATCCAAGAAGAAGACTAAGACAATACAGAAGAGCTTGAGCCCGGTTTACAATGAGAAATTTACTTTGTGAGTATTCAGGAAAAGTGGTTAAAGATAAAGTGCTCGTGCACGTTTTTAAGCTTCTGGAATTAAAAATTGTATATAGAGGGTTCCAGCTTTGAGGTTTGTCCCGAGCTTAATTTTTCGATCTCCAAAAGTTTTGAAATGAGAGTTTAAAATTTTTCATACTTTTAAACTAGGTTTTGAAAATCAGTCGGCAGTTAATTTTTATTAGAAAAGGGCTTTTATTAATTAATTTAATTACTAGTATGAAGTTTATTGATATTAAAAATCATCATTAACGGCTAGGGTTGCCAGACGTACTGCTTTTGGAAGTAAACGTACTCCTTTTTATTGCAATGTACTCCCTAGTAATCCCAAAAAAAATATCTGGAAATGTACTCCTTTGTTAGCTTTGTACTTCTTTTGTACTCCTTTTTCCAGCTATTATTATTTTATCATATACAGGGTGTAAAATAATATCTGTTGCACAGTTTTTTTTTTTTTTTGTTTGAAAAATAAAAGGGGCCTTTAGAATTTGCGAAAAAAGTAGTTTATTGTTAATTATCCACAGATTTGACTTAAATTTTATTAATTTGTTTTTAAATTTTAACCTTCATTTGGGTTTACCGGCGGTAAACGCTTTGATAGAAAAGCGCAAGTGAAAAAAGTAGTTATTGTATAGTTTTTAAATTTAACCTTCATTTGGGTTTACCAGGGGGTTTGGGAGAAAAGCGCAATTCTTCGTCGGTTACTTTATTACATATTTTCTGTAACCCCCATTTGGGTCCTTTATATTCCGTCTTTTGTCCAACATAAGACCTCATCACAGACAGCAATCGGGCATTCGTTCGACCAACCCTATACAGGTTTTTTTTTCGAGGTTCGCCGCATGTACTTATCTCCCAAAGCTGGCAAATGCAAATCAGGATTAAAATTTTAAAACCAATTAATAAAATTAAAGTAAAATATTTACAAAGTTAACAAAAAAAAAACACAAAATCTATAAAGAACCCTTTTATTTTTCAAAAAACCTGTGCGACCGTTATTATTTTACGCGCCGTACTTTGCCATTCATATTCTGGCAAACACTACTTAGTAAGCAAAGTTAAGTGTGATAGTGAAAAGTTTTAAGCATAGCCTTAGGGGCAGGGTGCTCGGGTATAAAAATCAGAAAAATATTAAATTAATTATAAGGCTTAAATTAAAAAAATGGCCATACATTCAGGAAGAGTCTGGAATTCTTTTGTAGTTTTTAGTTTTTTAGTTGGGGAAGCTTTCCTATAAGGGCGGTCATTGAGAACCAAATTCTTCGCAAAAATACTGTGGACGCAATTGTGACTTTTGGCAATTTTTCTAAGGGGTCCCGTAGGGGCCTTAGGAGGTCGGGAGTAACATTTTTGTCAATGGCGGTTCATGCCCTCTCCAGAAAGGTCGGAAAAGGTGCCACGTCCACTTCCCCTTCGATCACCATCTCTTTAACAATCGTCCCTATTGGAAAGCCAACTCATATAGTTATTTATTTTTCACATTTATTGTTGCTTTGAAAAAGATTTCTAAGACATCTTTGTTTGTTTGTACCTAATTAATGGTAATTTGTAACAATAAATTGCACAACAAATTAAAAAAAAAATTGTACTCCTTTTTTATGTCATGTACTGCTTTTTTTCTATCGAAAATTCTCCGTTTCAAAATCTGGCAACCCTATTAACGGCTGACAGAATATGAATGAAATATTAAAAGTTGGCGGTCAGAGCAACGATTTTTTTTTCACAAATAGCCCAGCTATATAAATATTAAACCGTTGAGCTTTCGGCTTCTGGTAAATCTATGGGATTATTCATTGTAATAAATTTAGTATTTACATATATTTAGCCCTTTTAATATAGGGTACAGGTATAAGCTTTTTGAGCTTTTCAGATTAGTTTACTTCAGTTTCATAATAGCACTAAAATGGTAATTTGAGAAAGTCTGAAATCTTAAAGTCCTCCTTGGAAAATATCGGAAGAGCTTAAAAGCCTACAAAACTCTACTTTTCAAACAACTTAATAAATTGTGAGGCAGTGTTTAAGATGAAAGATTCCGAAAAAAGTTATGCAATTTCAGGATTTGTGCATTTAGTAACAAAAGCTTCCTGAAAAAGCTTGGAGTAAATTTCAGCCAACACACACAAGTCAGTACATCTTAAAAACTATTATATAAAAGGAAAAGCGGACTTAGTTTTGTTTTGCAGATTTGAAAGCTAAACACTGGTTTTCATACGAAGACAGAGCAAAATCTCTCTCTAAATATTAATTACTTTAAAGGATCCAATTGTAGAAAGTCCAGGTGTATTATACAAAAAAAAAAATATATCCCATGCATAGGATCAAATAATATATAGAATCATTTTAGTATATTCACCCGCCTCGCCTTGCAAGACAAGGTAGATCAATCACGACAGAGAGGGCTTTCACTCTGTGTACATACGTCTATGAAAAATGTTTATAAAGCTTGAAAAAGCTCTGCACGCAGGCACCCATCGCTGAAGTAGATGATAAGAATAAGCTTCGCAACTCTTTTAAAGACCTTTCTGTGAAATCTTTTGAATCACAATGTTTATTTTCCGCCTTTTTCAGCGAAATTACAGCGCAAGATCGTGACAAGCGCTTACTGATTGAGGTTTGGGATTGGGATCGTACATCCCGTAATGATTTCATGGGCTCGTTTTCATTTAGCTTGGATGAGATACAGAAGGTGAGTTGAAATATGTGTTAATTAAAAATATTTAAGGAGATGAATAAATCGTTGTCCTTAGGAACCCATCGATGGCTGGTATAAGTTTCTCTCACAAGTTGAGGGCGAATGCTACAACATACCATGCTCAGATCCGATCAACGATATAGCACGCTTGCGTGACGAAGTGAGAGTGAGTAGAAAACTTAAAGTTATTTAAAACGCCAAAAATTTCTAGTTAAAAAAAAAATCCTGCAGATGGACAAGAAGTCGGACAATAAGCGGCGCATGGACAACAAGGATATGCCACACAATATGAGCAAGCGTGACATGATACGTGCAGCGGACTTCAATTTCATTAAAGTACTTGGTAAAGGCTCATTCGGTAAGGTGCTGCTAGCCGAACGTCGTGGTACCGATGAGCTGTATGCGGTTAAGGTGCTGCGCAAGGACGTGATCATACAGACGGACGACATGGAATTGCCTATGACGGAGAAGCAAGTGCTAGCATTGTCGGGCAAGCCGCCTTTCTTGGTATCGCTACACTCGTGCTTTCAGACTATGGTGAGTTGGGAAGCTGTTTATACGAAATGGGTTACCTAAAAGGGTATTTTCTTTTCCATCAGGATCGCCTATTCTTTGTCATGGAGTATTGCAAGGGCGGTGATCTTATGTATCACATGCAAGTCTATGGGCGCTTCAAGGAGTCTGTTGCGGTGTAAGTTTCTTAAGGGAATTTGCGGTTCCAGCATTTTATTCTGTATAAATGTTTTCTGTGATTTTCTAGTTTCTACGCCGCCGAGATCGCCATTGCCTTATTTTTCTTACACGAACATCACATCATCTATCGCGATCTCAAGCTGGAAAATGTGCTGCTCGATGGTGAGGGTCATGTCAAGTTAGCAGATTTCGGTCTCAGCAAGGAGGGAATTGAGGAGCGTGATAGTACAAGAACCTTTTGTGGCACGAATATTTATATGGCGCCGGAGGTGGGTGCCGAAAATATAGCTGTTTTACTGTTGTGTCGAATTGCTAAGTATTTTATTTTAGATCCTAAACTATGAAACCTACAGCCACACTGTCGACTGGTGGTCTTTTGGTGTGATAATTTTCGAAATGCTAGCAGGGCAAAACCCATTCGAGGCCGATGATGAAGACAACACTTTTAAGAATATCAAAGACAAGAAGGCCGTATTTCCGAAACACTTTTCTCAAGAGGCTATGGATGTGTTGACGAGCGTGAGTATAAGAGGGAGTAGTATAAGCT